AATGTTTTTTAGCCAAGTGGCGGTCATCATTTCGTTACCATGGCATTGTAAGTTCATAGTTATGGTGGCATAACTGTATCCGCATTATCCCATGCTGCATTGTAAATCAAAAAACAATTAAAACATATGGTGAATAAATACAGCATGTAATTATTGATGACAATAAATAAATAAATAATGATGACAATAAATAAATAAATAAATAAATAAATAAATAAATAAATAAATAAATAAATAAATAAATAAATAAATAAATAAATAAATAAATAAATAAATAAATAAATAAAGAAATAAATAAATAAATAAATAATTCAATCAATCAATAAATTAATCAATCCAAAAACAAATAAATACTATGCTCGTTTTCTCTACGTGTGCATATTATTCGCCAGAAAGACGCATTAAACAGAAGTCAGCAAGGTTCTACCTACCAACTGTTATGACATTATTCCTCCAATGCGAGATGACGTATAGAGTCGCCAATAATACAATACACCTATTCAATTTACATTCAGGACAGTTTGGGTGAATTATAATTATAATCTCGCTATTGAGAACTAATGTTAGGTTCCCACAGCCTGTTCAATCTCTGTCAACTGTGTCTGTCATGGGATTGGATGACCCACGTGACACATGCGTGCTATTTAAAAATGAAGCATTTCACCATGTCTAACAAGGCTAACACAATCTTTTCCTTATGCTGTAATATGAATTAAAGTTCTAATATAGGACTACTGAATGCATCATCCTCTAATATAGGGCCACTGAACATAGCATCCTCTGATATAGGGCCAATGAACATAGCATCCCCTGATATAGGACCACTGAACATAGCATCCTCTGATATAGGACCACTGAACATAGCATCCTCTGATATATGGCCACTGAACATAGCATCCCCTGATATATGGCCAATGAACATAGCATCCCCTGATATATGGCCAATGAACATAGCATCCCCTGATATAGAATCACTGAACATAGCATCCCCTGATATATGGCCACTGAACATAGCATCCCCTGATATATGGCCACTGAACATAGCATCCCCTGATATAGGGCCACTGAACATAGCATCCGCTGATATAGGGCCAATGAACATAGCATCCGCTGATATGGGGCCAATGAACATAGCATCAACTGATATAGGACCACTGAACATATCATCCCCTGATACAGAATCACTGAACATAACATCCCCTGATATATGGCCACTGAACATAGCATCCCCTGATATATGGCCAATGAACATAGCATCCCCTGATATAGGACCACTGAACATAGCATCCCCTGATATAAGGGCCATGAACATAGCATCCTTGATATAGGGCCAATGAACATAGCATCCCCTGATATAGGACCACTGAACATATCATCCTCTGATATAGAACCATTGAACATAGCATCCTCTGATATAGAACCACTGAACATAGCATCGCCTGATATGGGCCAATGAACATAGCATCCGCTGATATAGGACCACTGAACATAGCATCCTCGGATATAGAACCACTGAACATAGCATCCCCTGATATAGAACCACTGAACATAGCATCCCCTGATATAGGACCACTGAACATAGCATCTCTGATATAGAACCACTGAACATAGCATCCCCTGATATAGGACCACTGAAAATAACATTCGCTGATATAGGACCACTGAACATAGCATCCTCTGATATAGAACCACTGAACATAGCATCCTCTGTTATAGAACCACTGAACATAGCATCCCCTGATATAGGGCCAATGAACATAGCATCCTCTGACATAGGACCACTGAACATAGCATCCTCTGATATAGAACCACTGAACATAGCATCCTCTGATATAGAACCACTGAACTTAGCATCCCCTGATATAGGGCCAGTGAACATAACATCCTCTGACATAGGACCACTGAACATAGCATCCTCTGATATAGAACCACTGAACATAGCATCCTCTGATATAGAACCACTGAACATAGCATCCCCTGATATAGGGCCAATGAACATAGCATCCCTGACATAGAACCACTGAACATAGCATTCCCTGATATAGAACCACTGAACATAGCATCCCGTGATATAGAACCACTGAACATAGCATCCCCTGCTATAGGGCCAATGAACATAACATCCCCTGATATAGGGCCACTGAACATAGCATCCCCTGATATAGAACCACTGTACATAGGGCCAATAAACATAGCATCCCCTGATATAGGGTCAATGAACATATCATCCCCTGATATAGAACCACTGAACATAGCATGCTCTGATATTTGGGCGACTGAACATAGCTTCCCCTGATATAGGGCCACTGAACTTAGCAGCCTCTGATATAGGGCCAATGAACATAGCATCCCCTGATATAGAACCACTGAACATAGGGCCAATGAACATAGCATCCCCTGATATAGGGTCAATGAACATAGCATCCCCTGATATAGAACCACTGAAATTAGCATCCCTTGATATAGGGCCAATGAACATAGCATCCCCTGATATAGGACCACTGAACATAGCATCCCCTGATATAGGGCCAATGAACATAGCATCCCCTGATATAGAACCACTGAACATAGCATCCCC